GTGTGTGTGTGTGTGTGTGTGTGTGTGTGTGTGTGTGTGTGAGCGCATGTATGAGAAGCTGGGCCATGTCCAGGGCCGGAGTCATACTAATAACACAGACGCCAGCGGTGTGTTTTACAAGCTCAACTGCTCTCATTAGATGAGAGGCTCTGTTGTAGCGCAGGCCGCCTCATTAATGAAGCACAGCCATGTGCTGCAGCAGAGACCTACACTGACTCGTTAAAGCAGAGCCGAGCGGGTCAAACAAACTGTGTGGGAGGACTCGGAGCTGCATACACACAGCAAACATATACACACACTCACATCCTACACACCGCGCACTGTCCCTTTCCATCGCACCACTGGTTAACACAAACGCTCATACATATATGCACATGCACAGCCTTTTGAAGAATCACCATCATGAATATAAAGTACACCTGGCCTGGTTGAGAGCAAGCACCCCATGGCCCCCGCGTCTCGGCTCTGTCCAGTCTCTCACACATCGTCTGTCACTCCTCCGATTCACGTGAAAGTGTTTACCTTGGTTTGTCTGTGCACGCAGTCCTGTGTGTTTTTAGTGAGCCGGTGCGACGGGGAGGGGGGGCCCCTCCTGATTACAGCTACTCCATAATTAACAGTGATCAGATTTGTTTTGTGGCATAAATGGTGCATGTGTAGAACATTAGGCCTGGCAAGTCTCATTTCAGATTCAGCTCAAGGGCTCGGCAGCAGACGGGTCACGAGCTTCGGGGAGCGCAATCACCAGCCTCGCTCCATATGGTCTCGCCTGCCGCATCTTCACCAGCGAGGGCCGCGAGTGCCAGAGAAGTTCCCCTAAGAACCTAATCGCGTTCAGTAATTACCGAGACCAGCTTTTTTCTCTTTCGCTCTCTCCCTCAGACTCATCCCAATCTTTTTTTTTTTTTTACTGCACCTGCATGTTCTCTTCTTCCCTTTCCATCTCATATCTCCTGCCTGTTAGTTTCACCTAACTGGTTACATTGTGTTCATTTTTTTTAAATATAAATTTCCTCTTTCTCACTAATTCTCTTTTCCTTTTGTTTTCTGCAAAACACAAATCGGGAAGACGCTGAGAGAGACAGAAAGAGGAAAAGTCAGAGACTCCCACGTTAGTTAATTTCTAAATTGCTTTATGTGGCTGATGCCGAAAAACCCACTCTGTCCTCCTGCCTGCCTGGAAATTATAAATAATTGTAACAGATGCGCCAATATGGCCGGCCTCCAATAAACGAGGCCCCAGATAATTTGACCAGCCCCCTTTGACAGGCCAATTTAATAAAACATGAACAAAATCTTCCTCACTAATAATTTATCATCCCCTCTCCTCCCATTTGGTTAAAGTTGATTACCCTGGCAGTTAACAAGGTCACGCCCAGATGCCAGGTTTCTGATAATGCAATCAGGACTTGTTCGAAAAGAAAAAAAGGTGATGACATCTTGTGCGTTTTTCTTCACGATCTGCAAGTATAACAGATTCGTGACAACTTTGTTTGTCAAAAACCTTTGATTTTGATGTGTTGTGTAGAAGTGTTGTTGATAGCAGATGGTCTTCTGTTTTTAAGCTGTTCATATTTTTTAAAATCAAGCATTTAAACAAAACACGTGTGAGTGAATGTAATTGTCATAATATAATTAATATCGTCATGTCTGCATAAAGACGATGCAGTACATGAAAATATAATTGAATCCTCTCTAGAAAGGCCTGCTAAGGGGCTTCAGTCAAACTTTATTTATGTAACACTTGTCATACAAACATATTGTAGTACTTTAATGTTTTACAGTATAACACAATAAACTGTATGAAAAAAAAAGAAAAAAGTAATCTATTCAAATCCAGCAAACTTCCCACCACCACAACTCCCACACACTGACACACAGTTTGGCACATACTCAAAAGGTCTGCATTTTTCTTTTTATTTATCTGACAATAACATCTGCCCACGAAATATAATTTTTATAAATTGACCAAAAGGTATTTACTTTCAGTTGTTCGTACACAAACTCATCATGTGTTATGTCTGTAAAAACGTATGAAGGTGGACTATATCTTCTAGCAATGTAATGTACAATAAGAGACAAAAAAGGGCTTTATTTTACTTCTAATAAGATTACTTTTTTATTATTTGTATTGTTGAGATAGCTTGTATTGATGTGTGATTATTCAAAAGTGTTCTTTTCTAGTTAAGGATATAAACTAATCTGAACAGTCTCAGTTCAGAGTAATGTTTTTATTACGGATTGAAACGAAAAGCTTGAAACTAGGGTTATTTATAAGTACAGTAAGTGGCAGCGTACTGTAGTACTTCTAGTGAAGCATGAGACACTTCTGGCAGGAATATTACTCCAAACTGAGTTTGTTCAAAGAGTTTACTATAACAGGTAAGATATTATTTGTTTACATGCTTTTCACAGAACCCCAGTTAAATAGATCTGATTTGTTGTGCATCGTTTTTCATTCCAAGCCTCTGTAACTCTTATTTAGCTCATATTTTGTTTCACTGACAGCCACTTGGAATTTAACTTTTTTTCTTTCAGCCAATGTGTTCAGAACAGACTGATGCTGCAGCGCAGAGGTCTAGCCCTCGCTCTGACCAGGCCTCTGCTCAAGGTTCAGATCCTAGGCCAGAGGACAAGACTTTCCGTCGCACATCTACCACCAGAGTCAGAAGACAGCAGGTAGGTCAACACACACTACTGGCAATTATACTGAAGTCAGAACGTGGGTGAGCAGCCAGGATGCCCACACTTATCCATTCCCAATTTGCTCAGATTAGATCAAAGCCATAGAGGACAGCTTTAAAGAAAATGGTCTTTTTAAGAATCATGTGATTCATCAGAGCCAGCCTCGCCAAGCTTTGTTCTGAACTTTCCAATACACACACTCAGAAGCCCCTCCTACTGTGACCAGGCCGATGTGTGCTGCTGGTTTCACACATGCCTTGGGCTCAGACACTAGCTAATTTACCGCTTCAGCAGTACATTATGAACAAGAAAAGAAGCTTTTGATCTTCTCCGTATCCCTCCTATAAGTTTGGCAGGACAAGTTTGTAGATGGCCTCACTCACTTTAAAGATGGCCTTAAGACACATTGGATTTATAATGATGTCCTCATTATATCTTTTAATGAAGCACCTTTTTACCTGTAGTTTCTCTATTATTGTAAATAACACTGTCACACTACAAAAATACTAAATAAAACTATCATAATTTAATGTGCCTTAATTTTCATCCATCCATCCATCCATCCATCCATCCATCCATCCATCCATCCATCCATCCGCAGATTATTCACCTTATGTTACAGTATGCAGCTGTAAGTAGCTGCCTCTTATTAACTAGCTAAATAAAAATGGTTCCAAGTCAAGTTTATAGTAGTAATTTATTTTCTCTACTCAGAGTTTGTACTATCTGCTTTACTTGTTATCGTGGCATTAACAATTACTACAAAGCAGTGGCGTTACAAAACAGCTCAGACAAGATAAATTGTTTTTGTTTACTGTGTTGTGGAATTGTAGTTTTTTTTATGACTGTGTGCCCGCCTTCCAAACTACAGTGCTATTAAAAAGTATTAATCTGATTTTTATGCTTTTTTGGGTGTCAAAAATACATGAGTAGAGTTACTAGATTAGAGTTTGTCTAGATTGCTTAGATGAGTTTGCCACCTTCCCATCAAACAAATGAAGAAAATACACAGTTGTAACATCCTCCTCCTGCTGTCAGCGTCTTCTGTTATTCCTGTAACGTGAAGAGAATTGCATTTCTTTCTCTACGTCTTCGCATGTAACATCGCCAAAACTAGTTGAAATAACGGAATAAGTACAACTTTCCAGATAGTACCAACATGTTCCTGATAACTTCTCTCTATTGTCCTGAGATGTGTGGACTCTGCAAGTTTGCGACTTTTACTTCCTGTTTACTACACACATGCGTCTGACATAATTGATTCACTTCAAGCCAGTTGATGGAAACACGTCTGATTCGCATTTCTTAGTTTTTTCTTTTTTGCAAAATTTAAAAAAATCGCTCAAAATTCGAATTAAAATTGGATGGAAACACGGCTACGGTCTCTCCTATCTCACCTGCTAAAAATTGTTACTCTTTCATTATTCTCCTTCTTGCGAGGTCACTTAATTTGTGAAGAAAACTAATGTATACTGACCATGATTGATTTATGTCAGCAATAAAAGAATAAAACATCTGAGGGGGTGAATAGTTTTTATAGCCTCTGTACTTAAAGTTGTTTTTATCAGCTTCACGTCTTTTTTTATTTTATTGTAAATCACAAATATTTTCAGTAGCTGTCACTGCTTGCTTCTTCGTACAAGAATATGATGGTAATGGCCTAAAGTGACAAAAACATGGTATGCTTCATATTTTATTTATGAAGTTATATCTAACTGCATTCCAAAAAGCTGATGAAATAAGGCCTCAGTGTAGACTTCTGCTACAACCTAAAACATAATTTGCAGCTGTTTCAGCATAACCCTAAAGACAAATGTGGCTACCGGCTTAGGTGATGATGACTACACATGGGCAGAAAATTTCTGCATAAGAGTTCAAATGTTGCTTATTCTATTAGAAAAAACTGACTTTAACTTCCAAGAAGAGAAAAGAGAAAAGATGCGTATAAAATAAATGTAATTAACCATGTTCAGTTTTTAATTTTTTGAACACTTTGCTTTCTGTCTTGTTATTTTTTGCAGAGCTCTTGCTGGTCTCTGGCTCTTAGATTTATCAGCTGCCTACAGTTTCTTTCAGATTTTTTAAATTGTTCCTTTTTTTTTTTTTGCTTTATGTAAAACCTGTTTACTCTTTGAACCCTCACCCCTCAGAATAGAAGAACTTTATCCCAAATGCAAACTCATTTTAGGTTCAAGCCTTTATCTTCATTTCATTCCTACTGTGTACTCCACACTCCTGCTGCACCTCACTCTCATGTTTGCAGAGCCATTACAAGGTTCTCTGCAAAGGTCAAGTCATGGCCATCAACCAGCTGCAAAGCTGACGTCCAAATAGAGACATTGTTTTTTGTGTTGTCGCCTTATTATTATTATTATTTTTTTTTTTTCAGGCCTTCTTGTAGAGTACCAACATTGTCACGGCACAGATCTTTCAACAAAAGTCATTTGTGTTCCTTCTGGTGTCACAGCAGGCAGACGTTCAACTGGACCACTGAGAACATCTGCTCCACATCTCAGTCATGTGTCAGTGTTCCTGCATCATATTCCAATAAATCTGCAGAGAAAATGTTATTGCCAGTCAGCTCATTGTTTAGAATATATTCAACAAAATACTTTTCTACATTAAAACGTTTTTAATATTTATTATAAGTAAGTTGTACTTTATAATTGGTCATCTCTTCTCTTATAAGTTTAAGTTTGGACTTCACTTTTAGCGTCTGTGTTTTCCCCGATGTCCACACAGACTCAGCCAATTGGCTCGCCACTCGTCAGGAATATGCAGATCAATCTGTTAATTAGTTGCATAGAGTCATTAAGGCTGAGTTAGAACACATGGTTGGTACCCATGAAGGCATGTTAGCAGAACCTGGCGCACCAGGTCACTGGAGTCAACTGTAGCCCCAGGCTGCATTCCCAAACATACTTACATACTGTACATATAAATTAGTGTCATAAGCAGTTATTTTAAAAAAATTGTATATTTGGTTGATGTGTAAAATTATGAGTTTTACAAGGTATGAAAAAATAATGTTTAAAATAAAAAATACAATTTTATACCATGGAGGCATTTTGTTATGTTAGCATTAAAAGTGTAGTACTTCTAGTCAACAAATGGTTTTTGAAATGTTTTTATTATAACTTTTAGGTTTCATTCTAAAAATTTAATATGAAATTTGTGGATTCATGAATAAGGAGATTTACAATAAGCAAGATGAGTGCATCTAAATTTATAAAAATAGTTACATATTTATGCCATATTTTTTCTTCCCCCTTTTTTTAATGCCCCAATAGCTTTAAGCAATACAACCTGGCAGCTATGTGTTTATTTGACTGCTCTAAACCCAGAAGCAAAATATGCTGCTTGTCTGTTGTGGTTCTGAGCTCCAAATCATCTCTGAGGATTAAAGTATCTTTGATTTAGAGGAATTTAACCTAAATCAGTAGCAGTAACAACAGGTGGAACCAACTCAAAAAGGCTCAGATCTTCTGTTGTGTAACTCTGAAAGAAAATAAACCTTACAGACCTTGATCAAAAACTCAGTTTTGGAGGATAAGTGTTACTTAAACTGTCTTATCATTAACCTCCTTACTCTATCTTCACCTCCTCCTCTTCCCTTCATCTTCTTCCTCCCAAGGACTGTTGGGCATTTAGTCGCATTGCATATTTTAGCCTGCCATCTGGTCAGCCCTGCCTGGCACCACATGGGGCCTCCTATCCTCTCATATTCATATTCCACTAGCATATTGTTCCCACTGCTTTTGTACAGGATGGCCCCAGTGCTTCTTCATTTCTTTATTTATTTTTACAGAAGAGGCTGGCTAGCAAGCGGCACCCCCCCAGCCACCCCCCTTAATCGGCAGCTCTTCCAGTTGTCCTATCAAGTGTAACCTGGAGCCCCCTAGTAGAGCAATTAGAGCGGCCTCCCTGCCCACCTCTTGTAATGAAGCCCAGCACATTCTGGAATCTATAGCCCCTTTAGTCTCCCCTAATGGGACATCATTATTGTCAAAGAAACAATGTAAATGGAAATGAACATACTCATTAGCCAGTTGCAGGGAGAAACCTTTGCTGCTCTCAGCTTGCAACTCCTGCTACCAAACACACACGCATACACACACAAAAGTAAACCTCCTCCCCTTCAGCTGCTGCCGACTGATGCTCCAGCTTGCGTTATTCCTCTGGCAGCATGTTTGTTTGTGTGTGCACATGTGTGTACCAAGCAAGACAATGTTCATGTTTTTACTCAAGGTGAGAGGGGAATGGAATGAACATAGATAATACCATTATTGGCATTCACTCAGCATTTCTACTGATGTTAATTGCTACATGGGTTTGTGCCCGTCTTTGTAAGTGAAGTACACTCAAGTTCTCACCTCAGTGCTTCTTTTGCTTACCTGTCCCAGGGTACACCTGTGCAACGGTCCAGGTCTCTTTCCCCAACCAGCAGTGTGAGGGTGGGCAATGGGAGGAGAGTGGAAGCAGAACAAAGAATTCAAGACCTTGAAGAGCTGCTGCAACTGAAGGTAATTAGTACTTAAAATATATTGATTACTATATATTTTTGTCTTAACCTTTAATATGTTAATCCCCAACCTTTTTTATTACTTACTATTTAGCATTTTTTTCATGGCAGGTGACATTACTGACTTGTCTACTTTAATATTTAGTTCAAAGTTATCTTTTGAACTGTGAGTAGCACTCACATTGAACTTTTCACACAATAAGGCTCAACAACATGCCTATCAGAGCTACAGTATAAGATGCAGTGACCACTTCCAAAACCTGCTTGAGATTTTAGGTTCAGTTGCTCTGCAGCTGCTATCATCTCCTCCATGATCTTTTTGTTTTTTGCATCACCTTTCAAAAAGATATATGTTTATACATGCAGTTAGTGTGTAAAGGCAGTAAAACAGCAGGAGATGAGCCACTTTTAGTGAAAGTAGAAACATCAGGGTTTTTTTTTTTGTCCTCCTTAAGCAAATTGGCTTTTATACTCTTTTAACCTTTGAATGGCTTGTGATGTTCTTCCAACACTACTTTTCACTCTGGCCTCAAGAAAAATGTGGTTTATTTTTATATGTAACAATTTATTTTACCCTCAAACATTTTTTAGCAAACTACATTTTCTTTTTTGTGCCCTTTTAAAAAAAAATAGGGGTGCAACGATACAGAAAATTCACGGTTCGGTTTGATACTTTAGTCTCACGGTTCGATATTTTTTCGATATAAAAAAGAGAAATTTCCATGCCCCTTTTAACTTGTAATTTATTTATATTAATTATGAACATTTGTTTAACCTCAAAAGTACATTTTTTAATTAAATGTTGCTGAAACAGCAAGTTTCTCAGTGGACCTGCGCTCAAAAATACAGCCTAGGTGGAGTAGTCGAACACAGATCCACTGATCCTTTAACACAGAGCATCTTCAGAAGACATGCTGATAAAGTAAATTTTTTTAATCTGTATTGTTCCATACAGCACTGTTCGATACGGTTCGATACGGGTACATGTATTGTTGCACCCCTAATATGTATGTATATGTATATATGTATATGTTTATGTATATGTATAAGTATATGTATATGTAAATGTATTTCGCTGTGTTCTTTTCCAAAGGATGTGATGATTTTTTTTTTTTTTTTTTTTTGCAGATTGTGTTATTTTTTGGTATTTCCCTGAATTCCAATGTAACTACATTTTTTAAAAAATGTGTAATTAAATATTGAATAAGAATAAGTTCAAGAATTGAAAGCAAAATCTATGTTTCAACAAAAACAGATCAAAAAATGCTGGTGCTTTTCTTCATTCTTCTTATCTTTGCAGTTGACCAGTGAGTGGATTGTTAATCAAAGGTCATCTCCATTTGAACACAATTCACAAAACGCATTAGGCATCATTTCCTTGTCAGATGTGAAGCACCTGAATTACATCACTGGCAGACACCTAGACAGATGATGCTCAACATGAATTCAGACAACATGCATGACTGTCTTAGTTAATGGTGCCATTTACTTGTCTTTGTCTACCAGTTGGAGAAGCATTTAGTGGAGGTATGCACAGAAAAATGTAACCACGTTAATGAGGGCATTCGTTCAGAGACTGATTGAGGGGTTTTATCTTGTGCGAGATGGCCTCCATGAGATCTTACCTTCATCCTCTCATATTGGAACTCTTTGTTCCTTCAATTGTTCTACCTCCTATTTTGTCAAGTTTTCTTCTACAAAATCACCATCAAATTGGCAGCCATAACCTTGATGTTTGACCATAACAGCAACAGGAAACAAACAATTCTCTTAAAGTGTCCTTTTTTTCCTTCTTCTTCACACTTTATAGTAAAAAGTAGCTGTTTTTGTGTAATTATTTTTCAGCTTGATCGTCCACAGATGTGTATTCTGGCTGAGTAAGGGGGTGTATTGATTGGTGGGCAAGGGTCTGATGACCAGAGCTCAGCTGCCCAAGGGGGAGCTCTATAAGGAGCCTGGGAAGCCATGATGTGGCTAATACCCTGCCACTTGCTCACTTCCACCCGCCCCCCTACTCCTCCTTCAGTCAGCCACAACTCTTCTGTGTCTTCCCTCAGCTCCTAGTTCCACCAGTTAACACTGCTCTGGTCGGGTCTTTCATTAGGGCTTTATTTTTGAGAGAGCGGGGGCTGCTTGAAGGGGGGCTAGGATGTCTTTCAGATGTCCTCGGTGAATAATCCACACAGGGGAAAATCCATACTTGTCACATTGGCAGCATAGATGTGCATTGCATATGTGTACGTGCACACTTGTTGTGGGTCCAGCACATGTTTGTGGTTCACTATGTTCTCTTTGTCCTTGTTAATAATAACAGGGCTGAGGGCTTGCATTTCCCTCTCTGCAGGGTAGCCGTGTCATATCAACAGTAAACAAGCTCCTTCCCTTCAGAAAACACTCGACAACTCTCGCTATCGCTGGCCACTCAAGCAGAAACCTGTCCTGAAATCTTCCATTCACGTTTTGCTTTTCTTTCTCTCTCTTTCCTCTCTTTCCAATTTCTCTTTTTTCTGTCTTTCTTTTCCCTCCACTTTTATGAGATGCTTTCTTCATTTCTTTATACTCCTTTCACCTCTGTCTTGTCGGTTGAAAGTTGTATTATTTTCCTCATTGCCCTCACTGTTAAGGTCAGTGTGTTAGGGAGGAGGGTTAACGCTGACAAGAAAAATCTATATGTTCTTCCCCTTCCCCTTTTTTAAAGCAGGAGCCCAAAACTTGCTGTGTTTTAAAAGATGTCAACAACAGTGTCAGCAACAAACCCATGGATAGAATCCCCACATGAAAACACTTGCTGGTCATCAGCTGGTAACTCCAGCGAGTTTCTTGGCTGAACTAAAAATACGAGGGTGTGTGTGTGTGGCACCACTGACCTGTCATTTAATTGACCTATTCATTAAAAATATTCCACAAGTACGAGTGGGGACACTTTTCTGAGAGTCTAATGAATCGTTTTACGAGTTTAAAAACAAACTGAATTATGTGATGAGACCTTTTCAGCTAAGAGAGTTTTTTCTCTTCAAAAATATACTTTACTAAGAGACATTGTTTGTTTTTTATTTGTCTTTAATCTGTGTGAAAAATGTAAGCAGTTTTTCCCAGATTTCCTGCTCAACTGTATGCATTAATGCACCTGAATCTGAGCCACTTGTTTTATTTAACTTTCGCAGCTTTTAAGAGAAAAACAATTTTGTCTCTGTTCGTCGTAGACTGAGGAGAATGAAGAGCTGAGGAAAGCTCATAGTAAACGCCGTGAACGCCTGTGTTTGATTCAAGCCAACTACAAGAGAGTCAGAGATCAACTGAAAGAGATGGAGAAGTCCAGTGGCTTGTGAGTATACAATTTTTAAAACCATACATACTCAGTAGCATTAAGTAAGAGGCTTTTCAAAACACAAAATGTAACCTTGTATGTAAATTCCTATGTGAAATACAATGCTCTGAAACCCTTTGCAAATTGTCTTAGGGCTCCAATGCTCTCCACATGTTGTCTGACAAGATCTGAGTTCTGGATTTAGCAATGTAGGAGAAATTTCTTCCTTTGCCTTTGAAAAGCTCAGAGGTTTTAAGCCCAGTCAATTTGGGCCGTTTTGTGCCAAGTGTATGTGTGCTTCTGCGTCTCTTCTCCCTCAGCGTTCATTAAGATGTGAGAGCCAGAGGCTGGAGGTGTCTGGTCCTTCGGGTGCAAGGTGTTTGAGAAGGCATGTGGAGGGAGGAGGGGATCGGTCCGTTTCCTGCTTCAACCTGTTATCTTCACCAGAAAACCACAGGATTTTACTCAAAGTAGAAAATGTGCTGGAAAACTATCATTAACATATGGGTCTCGTTTTCTCTTTTGTCTCCCTGACTTTTCACGCTGTATTATTTTTTCATCCATTTTTCTCATCTGTAACCTGTTGTCACCGAGGCCATTTAAAGCACAGGTAAAGGTGCGTGCATTTGGTGGCCATGGGGGAGTAAAGCATTAACTCTGTCAGCTGTTTTCTCTCTGGGTTAATTAAAGAAAACAGCAGTGCAACGAGAACCCGTGTGAAAGTGGAGTGAGCGAGAAAGCATGTTCAGCCCTGGGCTTGACTCGGCTCATGTTAGCTCAGCACAGCTCAGTAGCATGTGTCTGGGACGGTGAGAGCAAAGACAGAGATGTAGAGAGAACTGCAACACCGCAAAACACTTCTATTACGCATTTTAACAGGTTATCAGAGGAATTCTCTGTCTGCTGAAGCAGTGTACTTTGTGTATGCATAACAACTTTGATTAAGTGAGAAAAAAACACTGGTGTTCAGTATAAAGAGACAAGGTGTTTACTTTTATGTAAGTAAGTAAGTAAGAGTTTTTATGTGTATTTCATGAACTATTTGACATGGAATTGGTGTATTGAGAAGCTTTGCCCTAATCAGTTACAACCTTTCATTGCATCAGCCACTCACTCAATGTTATGATTTTCATATTCATTTGGCATTAGGTGCCTTCCCTAAATAGCCATTAAACCCACTGGGGTAGTGCTAGCCTAAATAAGAGACAATAGAAAATGATTTAAAAACTCCCATTAGTGCGAGGAAATCAGGGCCCTAACAAGTCAGCTGGGATGAACGTAGTCTCATTGCATTTTGAGCTTGTTAGGGATCTTCCTGAAGCTACCCTGCTGTGTTGTTGTCCTTTTGGAAAGATGCAAAAATATATTTGTTCCCCTTTTGTGTTGCAAGACCAAAAGGTAAAATGGTTTGTCTGTTCATCCTTGTTTGTGTACTGTTGCCTTCTGCCTCTAGATAAATCTAGTGTCACCCAAAAATGTTGCCTTCCTGAGTTACTCACCTCGATAGATTTTTTGCACCCTCAGGAACCAGAAATGCAAGACTTGACTATGAGCCTTTATAGGAAATGGTCACTGACTTTGAAGGCTTCTGAGAAAACAAAAAAAAAAAAAAAAAAAACCTTTAATTATTATTACAGCTTAGTTTGGGGAGGGTGGGCTTGGATGATGCTAGGGTACACGCTTTGAGTGAGGCTCCTTGACTTATTTGTAGACATCCAACACTGGGATATCAGATTATTTTTAATTATTTATTGCAGCCTGCGTTACACATATGCAAAAATATATTTTTGATACTCTTTAAGCCAGGTTAAATTCTGTTTTTATACCTTGCAGTTTTGTTTCTCTTGTGTAATTTATCTTGTCTCATTAGCAACTTATGGTGTCAAACTCAGGTACTGAGTGATGTCAACAGCATATGTAACCAGTCCCACCCAGAAAACAAATATCAGCCAATCACAAGGCAGATAGCAAACCATCAGTATGCAGGCAGTGTGTAGTTGATCAGTCCCATTGAAACCTCTCTGCCATTCACCATTAGTGTATCATCATATTTTCTTAAAACGGTGTGAAGGAGAGAGGAAAAAAGCCAATTTCTTATTTATATTAGAGAGGGGAAAGTTTTTTTTAATCAGACTAGGGATGATGGGGTGAGCAAATAAAATTAAAGGTTATTAAAGCATCCGTACACTGATCAAAGTTGCGCCCATAAACAGATTCCCCCTGATTCAGAGCAATTAGCCGCAGCGGTGTGGAAAAGTTCTTTCTATCTCCTCCTGCTTAATAATGGAAACTAGAATACCATTGGGGGGAACATGCACTGAGGCTAGAAGAAGATAGCTCTCTCCTGGCTCCATGTTCAACAGCTTTTAAGCCCACTGTAAACAAATTAAATTTTATTCAGTTTTACCATGACTTTAGAATGCCTCTTACACATTCTTGTTATAAATGTAGCTGGTACACAACATACCTTTAAAGTCACATGAAGAGAATTAAAACAAAACTGTGAATAAATATAGATATTATAGGTGATGTTTGTGTGCTTGCAATAGACCCGTTTTCTTCTTCTTTATTCTCACCAAGTATTGAGATTATCAAATACATAGCTTTTGATTCTACCAAACGAAACCAAGCATATATGTGGCTATAAACAACCACACTCATACACTACATAGTTGACTTCAAATTGCTCACGGGGCTGTTGTGGTATTAAAATGAAAACATTTTCTAATACGCTGAACCCTCCAACTCCCAAGTACCAGGGTTTCACTAGTGTTAGCATAGCATGAAGGCATCCACAAAACCAATAAATGACCACAGGAAAAGGAGACCTCTGCAATACCTGTGACCCTCACAATCCATTTTCACACTTCTGTCACATTGATTAGGTGAAAAAAGAAGGAAACTGGTGTGTGTGTGTGTGTGCATGCATGCGTGCGTGTGTGTGTGTCTTCTACTTTTGTGATTTGTGGATTTCTCTCTAAATCCTGTTTTAGTTTGCAAATGAAACACTAATTGGAATTGAATATGTAGCGCTTAGGCTGATTGATGAGTTCGATGTATGCAGAGCTGCGGTTGGAAGGCATTAAATGTGTGTGTGTGTGTGTGTGTGTGTGTGTGTGTGTGTGTGTGTGTGTGTGTGTGTGTGTGTGTGT